GCTTAGATCTTTAAAACTACGCAACGGATTTTAATGCGTTTTTTTTTAATAGATAGAGTAATTCAAGAGGAAAGTTTATATGTATAATACATGCATAATATAATAAAGAAGCACTGATAATTTTAGAGGCTTGTAATGTAATGTAAATAAACATTTTTTTGCGCTTAAATTGCAAGCGCTGGCTGAACCCTACGAGATAGATCAAAATAATGTTCTACAGTATTGTACACCTTTAAATGGTCTACAAAAAAGTCCGGGATGATATATGTCTATCTCTTAGGGATAACCCACAATAACCATTTCTTATCCTTTACTTTTTACGAGAAATAGTCGCTTATTTACAGTGGTGTTGTCCAACCAGAACGCTCCGGAACGTCGTTCCGGTACTTCCTTTTTGGACAGGAACGTTTTCCGGAACTAAAGATGATTTCTGATAACGACAATTGGCTGACGTATTGAAAAAAAATTAAAAAGAATTGCTGATTTTTTTTTCTAATTTTTGACGAATTTTTATATGTAAGATTATAAACAAGGGTTTGAACCGAACACGAACCGGAACGAACCGGCTTGTTTTTCCGAACCGTGAACCGGAGTCCGGAACGTTTTTTTTCTGCTGAACCGGAACTCAAACCGAACCGAAACAAATACGTGAACCGGTTTTTGAATGAAATCATGCGCGGAAAATTTGGGAGAAGAAATTAAAAAAATAGGACGTGTTTTAGGAACAAGGTGGATAGCTAGTTCATTCAGAACTGTTAATGCAGTTTGGCAAAATTTAAAATCTCTTGCTGAACATTTTCATCAAGCCGCAACTGATGAAACTCGTTCAAAAACTGATCAGAGTGTATACATTGGTCTAAAAAAATATATCATGTCTAAACAGTTTGTAATTAACTTGGCATTAATGTATGACGTTTTGTATGAACTTTCCATCTTGTCTGAAGCGTTACAGAACAGAAGTGTAACGATAGTATATATATGCGGACAAACTAATCCGTCGAACTGTTCGCTATTTGGAATCACTAAAAGACGTTAAAAAAGGAAACAAACTCATAGAAGCATCAGAGACTGTTCAAGTGATGAAATTAGGAACATTAACTTTAACAGATAATAAAAAATTACTATTATTAACAGAAATCAATTCCTTGTAAGTCTCATTAATAATATGACTAGAAGACTACATACAGAAAATGATTTGATAAGTGAATTTCGAGTANATTTAATAAAGTATTTGTTTATTATACGAAAACTGTTTTTCATTTCCACAAAAAAAGACGAAATGACTTTCCGAACAACCCTACAGTTACAACAACTTCTGAAGAGTACTTGATGCATATTTGAATAATTATTACATCTCCATCGCATCATGGTTGCATCAAATATCCAAGGAACCACAACACATACATATTTCACGTTAAGACTTGTTAGGGTATATCAGAACGCACCGTTAGTGATTTAAGATTTTCTCAACGTTCAACAGTACTTTTATTACTATTTGTCGTTCAGGTTTCGGTCGTATGATTGTTATTTTGTGCCGGCGATTCAAGATCTGTACAGTCCACTTTCTCAAGGCAACCCCACACCTCACGGAGCCTTGGCTGAGAAGAAAACTCACACAACATAAACCCTTCAGATCAATAGTAATAAAATGACATTGCGGTCATTTTAAGTTTACCAATACACCTAATGTGTTCTATTAATTTGCATGGTCCACAATAGAAGTTTTGTATTGTGAATAAATCTAAGGATTTGCAGCGCGTTGCGGCCGATTTTATGCGTTTTCAATTAATATCAATATTTTACAATGGATACCTGATTATCATAGTCATTATTGGACCATTCTGGAAGACTGGTGTCCTGTTCGGTTCGTTTTCCAAATCTGCAAACACAAACTAAGAGTTAGATACGTAATAAAACTTGTCGTACTAGTAACATTTTGAAAAACTATTACTTGTCTACGCAGATTTACCAAAATACGTTTTCGTTTGAAGTTGTGTTAGGGTTTATGATAATTCTGCAGTTGTAACTGTTTCTTATTAGTGTCCCTACAAGTCTACTTCAAGGTTTGGTACTTTTGTTAGGGAAGTAAAGTTATCATAGATATGTAACTGATGGTGCATGCAATAGAACAAAGATAAATTATGTCAATGTGGTTTTGGTAATGCGACAGTGGTAGTTTCGTGCGGGGTTGTTTCCTCACCTGGGTCTCGATCGGTCAGCGTAAAGTTTTTCGAGATGATGAAGGGTGAGCATGCCGATGGCCCTTTGAATCTTCCTATTGTTGACATCTTCTGTAACCGGTCCACTTCTCACACTACCTACCACGAAGACGTATTAGCATACACCATCAGGACATATTATGAACACAATATTGAAATTGATGAGTTTTAAGTGGTTACTAGATAGCATCCGGGCAGGATGCGAACCTTTAAATTTTATCTCTAGAATTTTAAATCCTGAAATTTGCATAAGAACACATTTTTAATCTCTTATTACCGAATTAAGTAAATGAATCGACTTTCTAATCAAAATCACATGTTCTACAAAAGAAGAAGGGCCACGTAGAAATTTTTGTGTTTCATTCTCACCAGCTGATGGCGCTAGTGGGTGGCCTGTCCCGCTGACCTACACTTGTGTGCATTAATTTTTACGAATAAAATTGTAGAAATGAGTGGTTAGTGGTGATTAGGGAAAAAAACAGTCGGAAAAGATAATAACAGTAGATAATGCGTGCCTCATCGTTTGTCTACACGATTTTGTAAAGAAATCAGAAAAAGTTCAACCCAGGTTGCCATCACGCGTATGACTACGAATGCTATAAATTGTGATTAAGAGAGATTAAAAAGAATGTAATAATGTCCTAACTAATATTTTAAATTGCGAATATATGTTTTTACGTCATAAGGGATCATCATGAAATTTTGTACACATATTGTCAGGGGTACAAAATAGGACATGGGGTACCATTTATCCAAAAAAAAAATACTGTTCCCAAAGTACATAAAAATTATAGGGTTGTTCGGAAAGTCATTTCGTTTTTTCCCGACAGAGGATTTAATTGTATTCTTTTGCACCCAACTTCACATTTAAGCCGTATAATTTTTATATGCTTTGAGAGCTCATATAGCAAGGCTTGTGTGTGAAAAATTCCAATT